TTCTTCTGAGCAGGGACAGGCAGCAGGAAGGCCCAGCGTGGCTGCCATCTCTCCGCCTTCCTTTTCCACTCTACAGCGTGTCACTGGCAGGCAGAGCCATGCTGCAGGTGACATCAACACGTTGTGCCTCCCATGAGCCTGGCAGGACAGAATGGCCTAGATCCAGACGGCACATTCATTTTGATGTCCTTGGGTGCTCATGTTTTCTGATTCATGGCTTTTGTACTGCACCAGAGGCAAGCTGACGAAGGTAGCATAGTGTCACCTTCAGTAAAAGACAATAATAGCAATACCCTGGCTGCAACACGGCTCAGTCCTTACCCGGGAATTGTGTTACTGCTTCACATGCATCATGTCAATTAATCGTCCAGCGGTTTTGGTGCATCGGTGTAATTATTATCCCCATTGTATAGGTGAGTAAATCAAGGCCCAGATTTAATCACTTGCTCACATTCTACTGGTAAAGTACAACTATTAATATTCTGTTTACTCTGACCGTGCTCTGCATTCTCTCATTTCTTAATCGAATTCTGACGTGATAGACTTCCCCCCCACACACACAGATATTAAACTGTGGAATGGGGTGGCCGCGTGGGGTCTGTCTGCTTTCACATAAAGAGCTTCATTTCAGCTGAGAAATGACAGAGGCTTCTCTCCCGCACAGTGTGAAGCTCATCTTGGCCACGTGTTCCCCGACGGGCCTGCACCCACTGGTCAGAGATTTTGCATCAACAGCGTGGCACTGAAGTTCAAACCAAAGAAACAGTGACTGTCTCCAAGAGTCCCTGTCCCTTGCCACCCTTTCATTTGCACCTTTGATTTCCAGAATTCATCTGAACGACTTGCTTGATTTACTATAAAACTGGGCTGAGTTTGCTGCAGGCACCCGGCGGAGTCACAGCTGCTCTTACTACCTGGAATCAGCTCAACCCCACCCCTGCTTGGACCGTGGAGTTCCACCAGATGACAGAGGGGCAGCCGTTGCCAGTGTGCTGGCTTCCCTTTGGCTTTGCGTGGGGCCACAGGGTATGACTGCTTGGGGACATCAGGACACCGATGAACTAGTAAGCCACAAACTTCCTGCGAAACTTCTCTGCAGGTTCCATAGGGTTTCAGTCCCTCACGGGAGTACACAGGTGAAAAGAGGAAGGAAAACAGGGAATCCAAGCAGTCGGTAATCTCAGTGCTGAAGAGCTGGGCTTTGGGAGGCACGTACGGTGAGCCGTGAGATGCAGGATTTTTTTTTTTTTTTCAAAATTTACTTCCAATCTTTCTACGCACAAATCAGCTGTAATGGAGTTTGTTAGATTTCAGTGAATACAAATAAGTGTTCACCCTCATACTTTAAATACCTTTAAATGTTCAAATAAAATATTTCCTAAAATTTATGTTTGCTTTTTGTCCAAGTTAATGAATTTGCTCTTTTGTAAAAATGACTCTAAATCAAAATGACAAAAAAGAATTAGAATGAGCATGGTAGCAGGCGTTTGGTTATACTCAGACTCACAGAGCAAATTGAGTATTTTACAGATTCAGAGTCCTGAATAATGTGTTACTAGAAGTACTTAACTCATTCTCTTTGTGGCTTTATTAGCAGACAAAAAACTTAATTATTCCACTTTTCTCATCATTAGCTTATTCTGTGTTATTTTATATTTCTTTTTTTGGCTACCCTGGAAATCACGACATGCATGCTTACCCTTGTTACCGTCATATGCAAATCATTACTCCCCCCACCGAGAATGCTAACCTTAGAAGAACACGTTAACTCCATTAACATTCTCCAATATTTTGTGTTATTATTGTCTTGTATTTGATTTTATACACACTTTAAAGCCCCAAATCATTGTTATTAACGTATATAGTTGATATTCCTTTATATTTACCTACATACTTGCCTTTTTTTCTTTTTTTTTTTTCGCTTGCTTCCTTTTTCCTATGATTCCATGTTTCCCTGTGGGATCATTTCTCTTCTACCTAAAGAACTTCTTTCATTTTTCCTTTTAGTTCATGTTGCCTAATGATGAATTTTCTCAGTTTTTGTTGATGAGAAAATATTGATTCTCCTTTCATTTCTGAGGAATATTTTCCCTGAGTATAGAATTCTCATTTGGAGAATT